TTCAGTGGGCATGGGGCGTTGGTCTCGTAGCTGTAGCAGCGTGGAGCCGCATTGGATCGTCGTTTCGGTGGCGCCTAGGAAGTCCATGCCGACAATAACTTGTCCCAAAATGTTTGGCAGGACCAGGAGCGGGATTTGAACCTCTCGTTGATCCAGCTTGATGTGCGCCAGTAGAACTTGTGAGATCTCTCTGACCGAGCCATCGGCCAGGCGTATGCGGACGCATGCATCTTGTAGGTTGGTGTTGTTGTCTAGTTGTCGGGCGAGGTTTGCGCTGATGAAGCTTCTGGATGCCCCGGTGTCGATTGTGGCTTCCGTTGCATGTCCTCCTATGGTCACCATCGCCACTATCCGGCCGTTGCTTACGTATAGAGAGTTATTTAATCGCGGGTTGGAGGAGGCGTCGTTCCCGGCTGATCCCGTGTCAGTTGGGGACGCATGTCGTTTTTCGACGTGTTTTGGCGGCAGCAATTTACGGTCCGAGTGCCGCGTTTGCCACATTCCCAGCAAAATAGGATGGAGGGATTATGGCAGTCGTATGCCGCATGCCCCGCTTCACCACACCGGCGACAGGCTGCGCGTGGGTTGATGATGGGGGTCATGATCATGTGATGGGCCACCTCGGGCGTTGTCTGGCTGTTTGAGGGTGCTTGCTGCCTCCTTGGCGAGTCTGCCGTCTCCCAGTGGGGTTGCCGAAATGGTGACCGGGGTGGGTCGCCGTTCCTTGGCTCGGTGGCCGGCCTTGGGTATCTTGGGGTGCTTCGCGGCGGTGCGAAAGTGGTCGGGATGGTCCGCTCTTGGATGCTTTCGAACTCGGTGGCCAACATTGTGAGCTGTGCTAAGCTTTGTAATTCGTGTCGCCGCACGTACATCTGGTATGCTAGCAAGGCGTTATCGTAGATCCTGTTCAGTTCCTTGGCTGCGTCGTACGTGGCGTGGTGCATGAGTAAACGTATCTCGATGAGGTAATCCTTGAACAACTCTCCTACCGCTTGCTAGCGGGCTCGGATCTGGTCTTCCAATTGTTCAAAATACCGTGGCGGCAAGAAGAAAGTCAAGAATTCTTGGCGGAAATATGCCCATGAGCTGCCTTGTAGTTGGCTGGTGCGGTACCAGCGGCTGGCCCGATCGGTGAGAAGCTCTGTCATGGCCCGAGGCAGCTGATTCATGTCCACCCCATATGAGAGCGCACGTTCCTCGAATAGTTCCAGAAATGCAAGTGGATCGTCCTGTCCGTCGAACCGGATTCCCCATTTCAGAATCTGTTCCACGATGTGGGTGGTGGACGAGTCCATTGCTGGCACGATCCTCTGTGTGGGCGAGCGGCTGGTCTCCGTAACTGGAGGTCTGGGCAAATCGGCTGGTCAGGGTGTGCTGTATTCGGCCGCGGTGAGACCCGGCTTTTGGGTCCGTTTTCCGCTGGTGAGATGGCCCAGGAGTGGTGGGCATGGGTGACTTGGAGCGTCCTGCTGGCTTGCCGTATTGCCGTTCGAGGTCTTCTAGTCGAACCCAGGCATCCTGCGAGCGTGTTCCGGCGACTAGTGCGGCGAATCTCTTTCGTCGTTCTTCGACTGTTCCTTCGTTGTCAAATCCGAATTCCTCGGACAGGGCTTCCAGCTCGTCCCGCCGGAGTTTGTACATCCAGCCGGTGGTGACCCCTGGATTGGTATGGTTTCCCTCCGGGTAAAATTCGTCGGGTTGACCGGCTTCGTGGGCTTCCATGGTGTGTTTCTGCGGTTAGTAGCACTGACATACGTTTTATTTGTGGTACTTCTGTGCACCATTGTAGATACGTAATGAAAATATCCCTAAAGACTTAAATGTAGGATCAGTTAAAGATGAAATTGCCAAAGTGAAAGCAAAGTACCAGGCCAAGCTTCAAGCCCATCCTAATAGACTTGCGCAGTCTTTATCTTGGCACACTAGCCCTACACGACTCCGGCGAAGAGACCTCCACACCCAGCAATAATACTTAGCTAGGGAAGTACTCTAAGTTACTAAGTGTAATTAATTAAATAAATATATTAGGCTAAGATTTGTATACTTGTCGTAAGTCTCTAATAGGGAAGATTCGATTAATAAAATCCCGTAATAATAAAAAAAAAAAAAGATTTTAGCAGAGGCAGCTGCACCCAGCGGGCCAAACCAGGACTCACCCGCAAAACAACGATCACAGACAGAGACTTTGGCAGCGGCAGCCACACCCAGTGTGCCAAACCAGGAGTCTCATGTCCAGATACCTTCACGGGCAATAACTTTGGCAGAGACGACCAGCAACAGCTAGTCAAACCAGGAATCACCTGTACAAAAGCGCAGACGACCCAGGACCAGGGCAGAGACGGCTGCAACCAGCCCGTCAAACCAGGAGCCGACACCAGGAAAACCCAGAGAAAAATCCAGTATCCCGTCGACACCGAGCCCCGCGTCCGACGCAACCGTAGAGACCGGGCGAGGCAAGACAACACGCCGGCGCAGGATCCCGGAACAACGAGACGACGGCAACAAAAACGAAGACGTTGACTACCACCTAGAGCCACTGGCCGACGCCAAAGCAGCCCGGAAGAGGAACCCGTTCCGCACAACCGATCAGAACGACTACGACCAATCAATCTTGGCCGCGTTCACAGCCATGGAATTGGAGGACCTCTCTCCCTGGCCACAAGCCACCGACCACGTAGAGCCTCCCACAGCAGAGGCAGCGAAATTCTTGGAGGAGGAATTGGCCAAATCGACGGGATGACCGGAATTTCACAGATCGCAGAGCATACGATCACCATGCGGGACGACAAGCCCGTGAAGCAGCGGTATTTCCCCAAAAATCCAGCCATGCAAAAGATGATTGACGCCCAGGTTACAGAATTACTACACGACGGACGAATCGAGCCCTCCCGAAGCCCACACAGCGCACCATACGTACTGGTGGGGAAGAAGACTGGCGAAATGCTGATGTGTGTGGACTATCGGCAGTTAAACGCCTGATCTGTGCCCGACGCATACCCACTACCACGCATAACTCATATTCTGGAGAGACTCCGGAACGCCTGCTACATTTCCACGCTGGATCTCAAAAACGGACACTGGCAGATCCGGGTGGCCGAAGGCAGCCGCGCTGCAACAGCATTTACCGTCCTCTTCCAGTGGAAGGTCATGCCATTTGGGCTCCACTCCGCACCAGCTACCTTTCAACGAGCCCTGGACAGCGTCATTGGCCCCGACATGGAGCCACACGCCTTTGCATATCTGGACGACATCATCGTCATAGGGGCTAGCCTGGAGGAGCATATAGAAAATCTGCGGGAGGTCTTGCGAAGACTACGAAAAACCAATCTTCGGCTGAACCAGAACAAATGCAGCTTCTTCAGGAGAGCCTGGTGTACTTGGGACATGTCATACTAACGCCACCGACCAAACTGAAGGAACTTCGTCGCTGCATTGGAATAGCCTCCTGGTACCGAAGGTTCGTCCCAAACTTCGCCACGGTGGTCCAGCCAATGACCAAGCTGTTAAAGAAGGCCCAGAAATGGGAATGGACGGAAGAGCAGCAACAGGCATTTGACAGCCTCAAAGAAAAGTTGACCCAGGCACCAGTCTTGGCGTGTCCCGATTTCACTGAACGGTATGTACTACAAACAGACGCAAGTGATTACGGCCTCAGAGCAGTGCTGACGTAGCAGATCGCCGCAGAGGAGAGGGTCATTACCTACGCTAGCCGTCGCATCCTCAAGGCAGAGGAGAATTACTCTGCCACGGAGAAGGAATGTCTAGCCATCGTTTGGGCCGTCAGAAAGCTGCGTTGCTACCTCGAAGGCTACCATTTTGACGTCATCACCGACCAACTCGCGTTAAAATGGCTTAACACGATCGACAGCCCGACTGGACGCATCGTACGCTGGGCGCTGGAACTCCAACACTTCCGTTTTGACATCCACTACCGACGTGGAAGCCAAAACGTGGTAGCAGATGCCCTGTCTCGTCAACCGGTGGAAACACTCCAAAGAACAGAGGAAGGCCGATCCACTAGTCCTTGGTTACAACGGTTACTCAGGCGAATACAGGCACAGCCCGAAAAACACGCAGAGTTCCTCATCGAGAACGGGCAGATTTATAAGCACCCAACGGCGGGACATCTGGGAATCCGCTAAACCGCAACCCGGATGACCCAGCGCTATTACTGGCCTGGACTCTATCGGGATGTCGCGCGATACGTGCAACAATGCACAAGTTTCCAGAGATTTAAGGTGAGCCAGATAAAGCCTGCAGGACAGATGCACAACCGCCAAACCCAGGAACCCCTGGACATACTTTGCGCTTCGTGGGGCCTTCGTGGGACCACTTCCTCGATCCAAACATGGCAACACTATGCTCTTAGTCTTCCTGGACTCCTTCAGTAAATGGGTGGAACTAATGCCGCTTCGCAAAGCCACAACGGCACTGCTAGAGAAGGCATTCCGAGAAGGCATCTTTATCCACTTTGGAACGCCCAGAAAGATGGGATGCGACAACGGCACCCAGTTTACAAGCCGGTCCCTCAGAAACTTCTGCAAAATAGCCGGGAGGGAATTGGAACACACTGCCCCGTATACACCCCAGCAGAACCCAACCGAGAGGGCCAACAGAACAATCAAGACAATGATAGCATAATACGTGGAACAGGACCAGCGAACCTGGAATGAGCTTCTGCCAGAACTAAGTCTGGCCGTAAATAGCAGCACCTCAGACACGACGGGTTTCAGACCCGCATTTCTGATGCATGGACGGGAGCCCCGCCTACTCGGAGTACTGCACGATGAGGTGACGCTAGGTGACCCACAGGACAAAGCGTCGACACTCAGCGAAATCTTCCGGGTTGCAACTTCGCCGCAAAACTGGCTCCAAAGTTTGACGTACCGTATCGGGTCATCAAGTTTATTTCCCCGACCATATTGTGGCTGCAACAACACCCTGGACGATACGACGAATCGCCGGGCTTGCGGATCTCAAGGTTTTCCACGACCACAACGATGACAGCAGCCCCCAACACAAAGACATCGCAGACGAAGACGACCCGGGCAAAGGAGCCACCACCCACGCGAGTTTATGAGGGCCCCTTAGGGCGTTGCGCTGCCCTAACTTCCTTGCTCCGAAACGAGCGACCGCGGCCATGCCACAGTAAAATACGTATAGCTTCCCTTAAGGGACTAATCATAAGGCATAGAACCAATTGTAAATCGCGCCTATAGGAGGTCAGGGTATAGACACAAAAAGGCTAGGCAGGTTTTAACCCATCAAGGTTTCTTCCTTAGTAAAACAGCGATGAGTCACACGGGCGCGGACGACGCTCAGCCTTCGGAAGGAGAAAGCAGTCAGCCCCAGAACACGGCGCCCAACGCTTCCAACAATGGAGCCACAACGCCCGGCTGACCACGGGCCAACAGCGGGGTAGCTTTCACCGGTCTATCACCGGTCTATCACCGGTCCAGGCAGCACCACCCAACGCCTTCACCGGGGAATACCCCACCCAGAATGCCGATCCCGGAGGCATCCCATCCCACGTGGCCCTGCACCAGCTACCAGAGCTCGCCGAAGGCCCGTCCACCTCCCGCGTGGCTCTACGACGGCTCGCAATAGCCGGCGACACCACTGTGGCAGCCAGCCAGGAAGGACGACCCGACGAACCTATCGGGGAGCTGCAGCTCCTAAGACGGGAAAACGCGGTTCTCCGTAGTCAGCTGAAGCGCCTGCGACAGCGGGAACAGCAGCGACGACCCACTACGGGAACACTAAACGCAGAGCCCCGAACCCACCAGCGGCTGAAGTCCCCCCACCAACAGTAGCGGTACAACAACGCCTCGTCTCCTGGCGTCCTCCGCCAGGCACAGCCCGGAGGACCTGCCGCCCAAAGAGGGATCCCGAACCTAGCAGCAGCAACGATAGCGAGGCCGAGGTCCTGTGTGACTGACGCTTCGGCAAGGCCCGACCCTCCACGGCACAGCGACACAAATCCACCGGGAGCAGCCACCAGCCCCGACTCAGGGAAGCTTGCCCCCTCAGCTGGCAGTGGACACTGTCGACGCCCCGGACAGAGCCAGCGACGGCCCCCAGCGCCACGAATGCCTGGATCGAGGCCGCCAAGGCGTTCCAGGCCGCCCGAGCAGCTAAGGCGGAGCAGAGTGAGAAGAAAGAGCAGAGCGGGGAGGAGGTACTGAGCGAGGAGGAGCTGAGCGAGGAGGAACAGAGTGAGGAGGAGGGACTAGGCGAAACCGAAACTCCGGCCGACAGCGGGAATAGGTCGGAAACCTTGGACGAGACCGACAGTGAGGTCCCCAGTCCATTTCCCAGCCGAGGTGACGATGATAGCACGGAGGAGTACCCGCGGACGGAGTCGGGCATCGACGATGGGCGAGACACGCCACCTCCAGAACCACGGGCAGCTATGCCGGGGCAAGCCACACCATCCCCAGAGAACGGTATTGACACCCAGCCGGACGACGACGATCTCTCGCTAGGGCTATCCGCCCCCGAGGCGCAGTAATTGGTGGAGCTCTTCGAGGAGCTGCCCACCTTAGGAAATATCCGGGATTGGGTGGAGGCACCAGAGGCACCAACGCCTGGTCGTCGAATCCCGGTTACCCTGCGGGAGAGTGTGCGCCAGCGGGCGCTGATAGTGGGATCCTGGACCCGGGAGATTGAGACACATGACGGGCAGAACTTCCGCGTGTCGGTAAACAGCGGAGGGGAGATTTTTATCACATCACGCCCCCAGAAGTAGGAAGGGAGAGTGAAAGGCAACCCCTTCACAACCAACACCACCTACCTCAACACCCTTGACTATCTCAACCCTCTCTCTCTATCTCAAACCCATCTATTCTATATATATTTTCTTGACTACTATTAGTTGTATATTTTTATTATTATTAGTCCTAAGTCATCATCATTAAATAGCCATATAAACATAGCGCCTAGATTTTTTTGTGAGAACATAGGCATTAGTGGGAACAGAACAGCCCCAGAACCATCACCGGAACCAGCGCCACAACCACCACCGCGAGCGAAAAGAAAGAGAGCAACAGCAACGACAACGAAAAGAGAGCAACAGCAACGACAACGAAAAGAGAGCCAACCCACCTGCTCACCGACAGTGGTCACCCACACACAGCTCCTCGCTCTTTCTTAGACGGGCCAACAACAATTGACAATTTTCCACGCGCAATTTTGCAATTTTGTATTGTTTGCTCTTCGCGTCGGCACAAGCAGCTGACTGATCAGTCAGTGTTGGAAAGCGCACAAGTCCTCCAGCTGGCAATATCGGCTACCACTTCATCGTAGAAAGCAGCAGCTGTGAGGGAGCAAGATTTGCACGATCTTGCACGATCCTGCAGAGTCTTGCATACCCATAGGCTGAGCGCGCGGCAGGCACAGGAGTGCATACTTCGAGGCTTATCAAGGCAGCACAGGGGGCGCGAGGGAAAGGTCACGGAACCGACCACTCTCCGATCCCCCGCTCAGGCGGTGTTCCGGTCAACGGAACGTCGGGGACCGTGGAGGGGCGGTATATCCCCCATCATTAATACGCCAAGGGGAAATCCGAGGCCTGCGCGGGAGCCTCCTAGCGCAGACCGAGAAGCGAGAAATGGAGGAAGGAAACCCCTTCGTGGGTAGTTCGGCACTGGCAAGATCGCCACGCCAACTGCCGGATAGGGAGCCAGAGGAGGCCGCATTGGCATTCGGGAAGGGCAGTAAGCTCAGCCGATCACCAGCACCCTCGCCAACCCCATCAACGGGTCAGAGCATGGACTCGGGCTCCAAGGAGACCCCTAAGAGGACTCGGGACCCACTTAGCCCAGCTAGCTCGCAGAGAAAGACGCCGCCCAAGAAAAGCAAGGCCACACAGGACGCAACCTGCCTCGAGAACCTCTCGGAGCTAGGGAAACTCCTGGACGAGGTGACGATCAGGATGATGGACAAAACCTCGCGTCACATCACCATTGCCACGAGGGCAATGTTCGTGCGTATGAAGGAGCTGCACTCGAGCATCCAGGAGGAGAGACGAGCAGCCACATCGAATGGAGACGACGGGCAGCAAGGCCACGTAGTCGAAGCCTTATGCGCAAAATGCTTACAGAGGACGCAGAGCGAGGACAAGGGGCAGCAGACGGCAACCGTCTGGACAAAAAATGCCGCAGCGCAGACCGAGCCGTGGCGAAGGCTAAGCCAGCCGACCGGAGCGGAAGCAACGGCAGCGGAGCCGAGTTCGCCACTCACGGGTACAGCCCAGCTGCATGGCGCCAGAGCATCCAAGAGGGCCGTGAGGAAGCCCCAAACGCGGCCGCAAGAAGAGGAGACGACCCATAGTGCCATCAGTAAGTCCGTGACCAACGAACACCCGGACAAAGGATGGTCCGTAGTGGCAAAAAAGGCGAGGACAGTACGCCGCGTACGTCCCGACGCGGTCATCGTGCAGGCGTGCGGAAAATCCTACAGTGAGGTGCTGGCAATGGTGACTAGGAGGGAGGACAAGCAGCTGTCGGACCTGGGGAGCTGCGTTACAAAGGTACGCCTTACACAAAACGGCAACCTTCTGCTGGAGGTGGCTAAAGGCAGTGCTGAGAGCGCTGAGTCCATGAGAGAGAGCATCGCGCGGGTCCTCGGTGACACTGCGTCAGTGCGGGCGGCGACGGAGGACAATAAGGTGGCCGTGCTGGAGATACGCGATCTCGACTCCCTCGCGACGGAGCGTGAGATCTGCGCCGCCCTCGCGAGCCAGTTTGGAATTGACGAGGGACGAGTCAGAGTGAGGAGACTACGCCGTGGCTATGCTGAGTCACAGACGGCAGTGATCAGCTTACCCTTCTCCATGGGCAAAGCAGTTCTACAGTGCGGTGAGGTGCGGATCGGCTGGACCGTCTGCAAGATACGGGAAAGAGGAGGCCCCCCAAGGTGCTTCAGATGCTTGGAGCCAGGGCATATTGCAAGCAACTGCAAGAGCACGGTTGACAGGAGCGGATGCTGCATTAAATGCGGACAACAGGGACACAAGGCAGCAGAGTGCAGCAATGAGCCATTGTGTTTCATCTGCTCGACAGCTGGTAGGAAGGAGGTCAGGCATCAGGCCGGCAGCAGAAGCTGTCCAGCCCTAAGTAGCGGGGTCGGAAACGCCAGACCGACATGCGGGTAATCCAGCTGAATCTGAACCACTGCAGAGCTGCGCAGGATCTCCTGGCGCAGACGGTGAGGGAATGTGGATCGGACCTGGCCATGCTTAGCGAACCGTACAAAGCATGCGACACCGGGAACTGGGCCTCAGACTCGTCTGGGAAGGCATCCCTGTGGGCCTGCGGAAGCGACCCCCCCAAGCTCTGCAACATCAAGGCAGGAAACGGGTACGTGCGTGCGAAAGTTGGGAACTTGTGGACCTACAGCTGCTATCTAGCGCCCAGTCTACCCCTCGATTCCTTCAACCGGATCATCGAGGAAATTGTCGACGATGCACGGAGCCGTACAAACGTACTGATTTCAATGCGTGGGCACAGGAGTGGGGCTGCCAATCCACCAACGCAAGAGGCCGTTCCCTATTGGAAGCGTTTGCATCGCTGGACCTAGCTTTGCTGAACGAAGGCACCCAGCAAACATTCAGCAGGGCGAGCGGAGGCTCCATCATAGACCTCACGTTCTCGAGCCCGTCGCTCTCACGCGGAGCTAGGTGGCAAATGGCAAATGTGTACACAGGAAGCGACCACGAAGCCATACTGTGCACCATCGGAGAGCGCCTCAGACCTAGCAGAATATACTGCAGGAGCAAGGGGTACATTGAGGACACGCTCGACACATGAGCGATCGCCAGGTGCCTGGAGTCGTGGCATGCCACACTCGATGCAAGCGCCAACGAGGCAGCCAACCTTCTCGCCACGAGAATGGAGGAGGCCTGCGACTCGAGCATGAGGCAGCGTAAGCCGATCACGAGGCACCACGAGCCGATTGCCTGGTAGACCCCGGAAATCGCACGACTCCGGACAATGTGCATGAAGGCCAGGCGAGCAATGCAGAGAGCGAGACGTACGGCACGACTCGACTCGGCACTGGAAGAGTACGGGTCCGCCAGGAAAGCCCTGAAAAAGGCGATACGAAGCAGCAAACGCGAATGTTTCCTCAAGCTCTGCGACTCGGCGGATAAAGACCCCTGGGGCAGGGCCTACAAGCTCGTGGCGAAGAAGCTCTGTGCAGGGAGCAAGGCGCCAACTGAACCCGACGCGCTCGAGGGCAAAGTGCACGCATTATTCCCAAGCGCGCAGCATACGGGGCTAAGACCGAGGATACGCCCTGGTCCGTTCACGGGCATAGTGAAGGTCACGGAAGAAGAGGTGCTGGAAGCCGGGAGGAGCCTACACAGGAAAAAAGCCCCTGGCCCCGACGCAATCCCAAACCGAGCGCTGAAAGTGGCACTAGCACTACAGCCATCTGCCTTCGTGGAGGTCTTCAACAAGTGCCTCGAAGAAGGTACCTTCCCATCCAGGTGGAAGAGGCAGAAACTGCTGCTGCTAAACAAGCCAGGTAAGCCACCAGGAGAGCCTTCGTCATACCGACCAATCTGCCTACTGGACAGCGTCGGTAAGGTGTGCGAAAGACTTATAGCACGCAGGCTTAATCGAGCCATTGAAGAATCGGGAGGCCTATCGGCAAACCAGTACGGCTTCCGCAAAGGCAGGTCGACGCTGGACGCCATCGACAAGACTGTGACCATAGCGGAGAGAGCCATCAGCGGCATACGACGGAAAGGAGGCAGTAAGCAGTATTGCTTGCTGGTCACCCTGGACATCAAGAATGCGTTTAACACGGCAAGCTGCTACGGACGGTAGGCATACCGGACTACCTCCTCTGCGTGATAGACAGCTACCTCAGCGACCGGGTGTTGTCGTACGAGACGAGCGAGGGAACGAAGAGGTACGAAGTCTCCACTGGAGTGCCCCAGGGATCAGTGCTAGGGCCGCTCCTGTGGAACACGATGTACGATGGAGTCCTCCGACTGAACCTACCAGAAGGCACTACGATAGTAGAAGTAGTGGCCAAGGACCTCGTAGCAACGGAAGCAGCGGCCAACGAGGCTATTCAAGCCGCGGAGACGTGGCTCGACCTAGCGGGACTGCAGCTGGCAGCGCACAAGACGGAGGCCGTCTTGTTCAGCAGCAGGAAGAAGGTGGAGTCGGCCAAAGTGATGGTAGGTGGCCACCAAATCACATCACAAAGGGCCCTAAAGTATTTAGGGGTGATGCTGGACACCAGGCTCTCCTTCAGGGAGCACATGGAGTACGCCAATGCAAAGGCAGCGCAGACATGCCGAGCCCTATCGCGCATTCTGCTCAATACCAGGGGACCCAAGCAGGAGAGAAGGAAGCTCATCACGAGCGTCATCTCATCCCAGCTGCTATACGCTGCACCGGCGTGGCTTAAGGCGACGAACGTCTCCAGCTACATGCGAGGTGCCGAGGCAACGCATCGACTCTGCGCCATCAGGATTGCCTGCGCGTTTAAAACGGT